CTCTCTCTCTCTCTCTCTCTCTCTCTCTCTCTCTCTCTCTACCTTCCACACCACTCTGTACTCTCCTGCAGAACTGCAGCACGTCCTGCAAACACATTGAAATTAGCACCATGTGCTTCAGTGCATCCCAAACCGCTCACTGATGAAGTTCAATCAATTTCGCTTTAATTATAACTTTCTCAGAAACTCCTCTAATCTCTCCAACAAGTTTGATCTCGCCAGGGGTATGTTCAGTAAAAAGCTATGGCAGGTAGTTTAAAAAAGTAGCCATTTGGTGTGTGTGTTTGCATCTAACCTGACTCGCCCCCTGTCTTTCTCTCTCCCCCTTTTCTCCCCCTTCAGACATCGATGACTGCCAGTCTAATCCATGCCAGAACGGAGGAACCTGCATCGACGAGATCAACTCCTTTGTGTGTCTTTGTCTGCCCAGCTACGGAGGAGCCAGCTGTGAGAAAGGTAACGATGTGGACCAGAACTCCGCTTTTCACCCGACAAAAGGCGTGTTTTGTTTTGTGAAAGCAGAGAGCGGAGATAGAGGAAGGAGAGGATGAGGAGATGGAGGAAATGATTGAGAGTAGGAGGAGGAGGTGGCAAAATCGGACAAAGAAGGAAGACAAGGCAGTGAAGGCAGATAGGGATGAGACAAAGAAGGTGGAGAAGCGAGGTGGCGTGACAGTGGAAGATGAAGATAAAGAGGGGGGGAAGGGCGTAGGAGGAGGTAAAGCACAGTAGAGGAAGATGATGATGCTAGAAGAGACAGAAATGGAGAGTAAACAACGCGGTTGAGGAAGATGGAGATAACGAGGATGTGTAAATGGAGAAGTGGGAGGAAGAGGACATGAGTGTAGACAAAGAGGAGGAAGAGGAGGTGGGAAGCCCTTTGGAATAATGTGTCAGGTTTATACAGGACACCTGCGTCCAGCTGGGCCCTTCTCTCATTACGGTAATTCCCCTGTGAGAAGGGGGCCGCGAGGGAGGCTCTTCACAAACTGCATGTTACATGAAAACATGGCCGACATGTTTGTGCAAAACAACGGTGAGGAGAACAAACAGCTGCTGTATACATTAGAGTTGATCGTATGGGGTGTTTCATCAGAAGAATACGCAGATCTTTGAAAGGAGTTGATTGATTCAAAACAATTTCACCCGGATTTAATGTCCCGAAAGTAAACACGGTTTTGTGACATTATGAGAAAATGTTATTTAGCAGCAGACATTGGGGAAATGAGGAAGTGCACAAGCTGCTTATTATGAGCCAGATTGTCTGATGGACTGGTTTAAATACAAGATAGAGCTGAAAAGGGTATTTTTAAAATCCAATTTTCACCAAAATGATTACATTTCTTTTTTTTTTAGCTTACAAAATGACGCTGATATATAGAGAACACACATATAGAGTGACCTTTCACCTCAACTCTCAGCAGAGTTGCTACTTTGAATATCAGTTTCTTTCTCTGTGTCTGGCTTCCAGTGACTCCCTCTGCTCTTGACTGCTCTGCCGGGGTCGGAGCAATCGATAGAGAGAGAAGTCGGACATTTTAAATGCTGCAGAAACTTCAGTACATTTGGCTCTAACAGAACTTCCAAATCATCTTTTCACTTTGCTCCGTGTGTGCCGAGCTAGTTCGCTAACTGCAGTAGTTTGGCAAAGCAGCAGCAGCCACCGACACACACCGGCTACTGAGGAAACTTTGGTCTTTTTCAAGCTGGACTCTATCTTCTCATGTTCTCGTGTCTTAGTGACTAATTGGGACAAAATGTTTGAAACTGGTCCAACATCGAGTGCCATCGCTGCAGACAGCAGCGGCTAAATGGACTGCATTTTAAACCTTCGCTTTCATTTCTACACCATCATTGTACCTCCACTAAAAGTGCTTGTTTTCACTGACGTCTTCAGATTATTATTAGTGTCTGTCAACATATTCATCCGTGACAACACCGGCGCTCCTCTCTCCAACTCTCTCTCACATTTCCACCGTTGTCCTCCGGCAACAAGTTACCTCTTCCGAGATTTCACTTAGCTTGTTTGGTTCAGTTGCTAAAGTTGACGTTTCTGGCTTCTTTTGGCTGCAAAGGTTTAAAGTTAGTGATTCAACTTCGGCTAGAAGCAATGGTTTCAAACGTGTGTTTAGAGTTAGATAGTAATAAATGAGAAGCCAGGCTTTGAAAACAATGAAAAGGGGCTAACGGTGCATTTGTACATTGCAAGCATCGTCTCTTCAAATGCAATGCTGGACCATAACATGACATGTTGCACTTTTGCAGCGGTAGCTTCACAGTGAACTGAAGTGATGTTAATCTGCAGGTGTGTTTGTATCATTCAACGATCAATTTGACTTAATTGATAAGCTTTTAAGAGGTGATTTCATAGATAAGTTTCAGCCATTTGTAATATTTGGCCCTATGAATAAAATAGACTTCACTTGATTAGATGAATACGAGGGGCCACAAGAGGGATTGAGTGGAGAGAGGGAGAGTCCACCAGTGAAATAGGAAATTGCTCGAGTTTAATCTTACAGTATTCCAAATGCTCGTTAACTTTCTGATCTTTCACTGAATTTAACTTTGGTATCTGCTTTTTATAATTTCCCTGCGGTCATGGCTGCTTTTTAAATATTCATGCCCCTCCTGTGGTGCAGAACATACATAAACAAGAAAATAACAAGAACATGAATTAGTACGTAGTGTTGTGTTTCAGGCAGTTTTAATCTTAAATGTACAGCTTCTTTAAATCAAGGCCGCTTGATTGTCTCTCGGGTTTTGATACTACCAGCCTTCGGTGTTGCATGTGCGCCCTATAAAGTGTGTGTTTTCCCTCCCCTCCTTCCCACACACACACACACACACACACATCTCCAGGATGTGCCTCTCATTTGACATGAACTGGAGCTGTGGGTACATCTCCTCTCCTGCTGCGTCGCTGCCTTAACGCCTAATAGGGAGCAGCGGGTCTGATTGTGAAACTCTAAAGTCTCCGTCTTCATGCATCTTACGTTTCTCCGCACTCTGCAGAAATGTTGGATTCTGCTGTGAAAAGTACACTTCGCACCAGGCGTCGCTCTGCCATTTCGCTGTGATCTCAGTTTGATATTCACTGGGGAGGGGGGGGTCAGAACCGCGACATGAATGCTGGAAATGAACTCATCCGTTCCACCGAGGCTTTCATCCATTTAAATGTCAGGCAATTGGTCCCTGTCTCACCAAAGTGGTCCGGTTCTCTGCGTCTCATTTGCTGTGTGCTTCTTGAATGTGCATGTGATGTGCATGTGATGTGCATGTTTGTGCGTGTCCAGAGGGGTGTACCATGAAGAGAGATTAGGTACGCTGAGCCTAACACCATGCAGAGTCTTTCTCTTAACCGGGCGTGATTGCCATCGTGCATTACGCTGCACGCTGAACCTGGTCAGGAGCAGCTTTAAAACACGTACCGGGCCCTTGGTACCAGAGTTATCAGAAGTTCTAGTTGGAGGGAGAGGGTGTTTTTCTGGCAATATTCTACTCGAGCGATGCAGATTCTCAGCTGAGGGAACGCGACAAACCTGTCGAGCCGTGCATTAGTAATGACACCGAACGAAGAAGTTCTGACCGGGAAAATCTGAGCAAGAACACAGTTTCATTTTATTCACAAAGGTTGTTCTTGGCCATTTGCCTCTGCAGGCTCTAAAGAAATAGGTACCATACAATAATAGTTCAGTATATTATTATCCAGTATGACGTCTACTCACGCAAATCAGTTGTTCAGCTAATTGTACGTAAAACACGAGCAACCCATAAGTACGAATCCTTCAGTTTTACCGGCACGATAAACAAGAGCGGTCAAACAGTCCGTGTCCGTTCCTCAAGTATTCGTATTCCTATTCATGTGAAGTCCGCTGCTCCCTGTCTGATACCTTCACGCGTCTAACTGAGACGGCACTTTAACTGATAAACAATATGTTCTATTCTTCCTGCACTGTGCTGGTGGGTATGCTGTGTTTTCGTTCCTTGCTGGCTACAAAATAAAAGTGCCCACACCTTTCTCTGCTCAGTTTTCACCTCTTTATCGTGTGATGTTCACCGTGCCGTAAAATGAGTCTTTAACTTTAGATTTAAAGATTGATTCGTCATTGGTTTGTTATTAGACGTGAAGTAATTTTCATACTGATTCAAATAAACAATTTGATAGTATTCTATATCTTTTGAGTCTTTTGCTAAATGAATTAAAGCCCTGTCTCATTGAGAGTGCATTCAGCGGTAAAATGAATATATTCACATACAAATATACACAATTAGTCTGCCGGCATTCGTCTCCCCCTCCGACCTTATTTGCTGTAATAATATGTCTTTATTCTTCGAGGCGGCGCGCTATCGGTCCATTTCGTGCAGTAGGAGAGTCAAATGGCGCCCAGCGAGAGCGTGCAGAGAGCATGCAGAAGAAGAAGAAAGCCTCTCTCAACAAAGCAAGTAGATAACCATCACTGTGGCTGCAGGTCGAGTCAGAACGCCCGACTCTCTGTCCACCGCGCGTCGTTGGTTCACCCCCCCTGTGGTTCACGTGCTGTGAGCTCACAGCCTTGAATTCTGGGTAAATCCGGTCTGCTGCTGGCCTGTTGCCATGGTGATCCCATCTTAGAATCAATAACTGTGAGAAGTCCTCCAGCGAGAGAGAGGATGACGTTCATATTTACATTTTTGTCCGTAACAAAGAAGCTTGAGAGTTTTAGAAATTCATTCTACTTTCAGCATTTTTCATATTATTCTAATATTCAGCTCACTGTAGTCTTGCAAAACAACTCTTGCAATTATTTTTCCAGCGGTTCAGTATCAGTAAGGTCTGTTGAAAAGTTGCACATTTGCGATTAGAGTAACAGAGACATCAGTCAGCTGTTTCGCTCTGGAGTCTAACCTGCTGTTTCTTTGACTCGCTGCCTAATCAGCAGAGGCAGAAACCGAATCTCTCCGAGCCTGACTGAAGGGAAAAGTGACGGAGGAAGCATTAGCTGGTTCCTTCTCATCAGCTTCTTTCCTCCAGTCTGTCTTTTAATCCGTCGTTCGCTCAGACTCCCTCGGTCTCTTTAGAGAGAAAAGACAACATAATGTACACGTGTAGGAGGGTTTACTTTGCTATTCCACTACTGTAGACACCTCTGTTTCATGTTGGCTTCCTTCTCCTCTTTCCTCTTCATACCTCTCTGCTGTCACTCCCTGCAGTCCTTTCTGTGCCTCTCATCTCCGGTGCACCACAGGAGGTTTTTGTCAGTCTGTGCGAGTGTGTTTGTGTGTCGCTGTATGAGTGCGTCTGTACAGACCACATCTGCTGGTTCTCTGTGACTGTGTGTGTGTGTGAGTGTGTGTGTGTTTGTGTGATGCTTTAGCATTTCTTAGAGCTGTGAAGTTAGAGATCTTTCAGCGTACAGGCGTTCACGCAGCGAAACATTTGCATGTGTTTGTACTTGTGAGGACCCTCATTGATATAA